GGTCGCAGCATTGGTGAAGCATGCTGTCGGCCCGGAGGCGACAAATCAGATGGTAGAGGCGGCGCTTGTCGCCAGAGGAAAAACGGTGATGAACGCAAAGCTGCTGGCAGATACTCAGGCATTTGACCCGAACCTTTTTGATGATGAGGACGATGACGATGTCCGCAGACAGTTCGAGAAATTGAAGTCACGGCGTGAGGCAGCTCAGAAGCAAGAGCAAGCCCGGTTGGACAAACTCGCGCAATTGCAGCCGGATGTCCCTGCAACCCTCTCTGAGCCATCAATATCCCTGGTGCCCGCCCTGATGACTGGGTACAGTCAGGAAGAAGCCTCGAAGTGGCTTCCCAAGTTTTGCAGCATCTACAAAGATGCCAGGCGCCAGAACAGATGGCGCGTTCGAAGCAGGTTCTGGCCCGAGAAATGCTGGAGCTATGGCACCGGCTCTTTCACGGACGATTACGGCGCCATGAAGCTGTGCTTGCTTCATGCCTGGCGCATGGAAAGGGAACGAGTTGGAGTGCAGTGTCCGTTCGACTTCCGTTGAGGCAAAAAAGCAAAGAGGTCCAGGCTGGCCCCTAGTGTCAGGGATGCCTTCAACTTGGACTCACCTGAACCTGCTGAAGCCCGCCTGGAAGGAAGACTCACCAAACCAGAATGGGGTTTTCGTTTGTTTCTGTGAGGTTTGGATTGTTTTAGGGTGTCGGACCCAGAAGACAATCCAAGAGTGCAAGGGCGTAGACTCCAATCCCATCCATAGCCCTAATCCTCGAAACATCTCAAGCCTTGGGAAAACCCGCTCACAGGGAGAAAAAAGGCAAACGAGGGTCATAGGTTGCTGCGCACCACGACCCGAAAGTTCTGGAACAGGACCTGGGAGCCCCAGGCCTCTTCAGGGCTCGATGCATCTGCGGGATTGATGAAGGGGACCTTGTTCGTGGGTACCTTTTGCCCATCCCGCGAAGAACCGGTCCTGTAAGTTTGAGCAGGACACCTGACCATGAAGCCATACGCGGACGAGTTCATGAACGTGCTGGAGGTATGAGACTTTGGGTTTTGTCTTGCGGGAGGATTTGGTTTTCAGGGTTAAAAGGTCTAGAGTCTGAGCCTAGGCTCACCATTCTTTGCAGGGCGCTGGACAAAGCAAGAAGAAACCCAAAACCTTCCCGCCCTAACCTTGGCGCTCATCCCCAACCTCAAGCAACGCAAGCCCAGAAGCATGTGCACACAGTCACGCCGGTTCCAAATATCGAACATACTCCCGAGGCCTAACCCTTCCCCCCTTCCCATCCCACCCCCATATACTTAGTTGCTGAGTGAGCGCACTTTCCACTTTTTGGGATACTACAATCCCCTATAGAACTGAAAGTGTGCACTTTTTAATTTTTGGGGCTTATGAACTCAGCAACTAACCCTTAAACCCTTAAACCCATAAAGCCATAAACCCATAAACCCTGAACCCTAAACCCTTATGAACGCAGCAACTAAGTATATAAGCCGAAATGCGACCTGGGTTTTCCGCAGGACTCCTATGAAAGCTTGCCTACATCTGGCCCAGACCCTAAACCCCAAACACCAACCACAGGGTTTAAGGTTTAGGGTTTAGGGTTTGGGGTTTGGGGTTTACGGTTTCACCTCCAGCCGAACTGTCAGGGCGGCATCCTCACCTACTGCATGGTGGCCTTGACATTCACCTTGCTCCTTGGCGTGGAGAGTCAAGCCTTAACCCTAAACCCCAAACCCCAAACCCTAAACCCTAAACCCTAAACTCCCTAAACCTGAACCCCGAACCCTGAACCCTACCCGTGCTCCCTCCTTATCATAAAAACTAAGTACTTATTTTGATACTTCGACAAAGGAATGTCTCCATGTGTATATATGTTTTTCAAGAGAGAGAGAGAGAGAGGTGGTTCGGGTTGTGGGGCTTAGGGGGCTGAGGGGCTTCAGAAGGCTCCAGCAAAGAGCCCCCTAAACCCCCAACCGTGAAGCGCGAACCCTCCTCAGTTCTTGGTCTCCGTAAACCCGAAACCGTACACCCGAAACCCTAAACCCTAAACCCTAAACCCTAAACCCTAAACCCTAAACCCGAAACCGTACACCCGAAACCCAAACCCTCCAACACTCTCGAGCCCCTCAGGTACTTGGGCTCCCGGAGTTGCTCTCAACCCCAAGCCTATAAACCCTAGATCCTCACCCCCAAACCCGACACCCTAAACCCTAAACTTTAATCCTAGCCCTAGACCCTAAACCCTAAACCCTAGCCCTAAACCCTAAACCTCAGGTACTTGGGGTCTCGGAGTTGGTCCAGCACTGCAAAGCCATCCGTCTTCGCGGCCCTGGTGGTGTCTATGGCTGTCCGGGTCTCCAAGCGGCTGAGGGTTGTGAGTGCTTTTGTAAGGGTTTAGGGTTTAGGGCTAGGGTTTAGGTTTTAGGGTAGGGTGTAGGGTTTAGGGTTTAGGGTTTCGGGTTTAGGAGATTAGGGGTTGAGGGGTGTGGAGGTTTTGTACGAATTAAGGGTTCAGCGCAATTTAGATTCTAGGATTTATGGGGTTGAATGGCTTAGGACAGGAGGCTTTATCTGGGAACATGGGGCTCTCCTTGGACCCCTAAGGTGTTGACCTTGGGTTCGGGGGCCCGTGTTAAGGTCCTCCAAGGGAATACAAGGGCCATAGTAGGAGTATATTCAGGGAACCTCGTCGGGGTACATCATTACGAGTCCTAATCGCTTGATGGGAAGCTTCCCTGGGTTTTTTTGAGCCTTGGGTCTACAGGGTTTTCGGGCGTCGACTTTGCGCGTTGTCGGCCTGGCCCTAAAACCCTAAACCCTGTAAACCCCATAAGCCCTATAGTACACCCTATGAAGCCTATAAACCTAAACCTGATAAATCCCAAACCCCAAACTCCTTGCTGTTTCGAATTTGAGGCTTTGGTTTTACGGTTTGAACGGCTTTCGTAATGTGTTTGTTGGCTTGCGTGCGCGGGGTCGAAGTTTACACAAAGGAGGCATCATAGACCCTTGACCGTACTTGGATAAACTTAGAACTCGTTCAATTGTAGCCATACTATCCCTAAACCCTAAACCCTAAACTCTTAAACCCTAAACCCTAAACCCTAAACCCTAAACCCTAAACCCTAAACCCTAAACCCTAAACCTAAACCGAGGGGCTTGTCAGTGGGTTGGTCACTACAATCGGGCAATATGTGCCTTAAACCTCCCAGTCAACCCAAATGCAAGTAAGTAGGGTAGCCTAAATGAAAGCCAAAAGGGTTTGTGGTTCATATACTTTCATAGCAATTAGAATAGTCTAGGGTATATCAAGTTTGGCTTAGATAGTCCTTGTGTCCCCAGTAGGACACCAATTATATACACTCGCCAATATTAAAGCGGAACCCTGAATACACACCAAGAACAGTAAGATAAACCCTAAACCCTAAACCCTAAACCCTAAACCCTGTTTCATATGACCCCTAAACCCTGAACCCTGGGCCGCAAGGCAGGTCCCCTTCCCTGGAAACGTGGGTTTAAAATGGGTTTGGGGTTTAGGGTTTAGGGTTTAGGGTTCAGGGTTGGGGACCAAATGAACCCTAAAACTGGGGGTCATTTACCGTAGACTACTACCACCCCCCTGAAGGCATGTGAACCACAAACCCTTATAGGGCTCGTGGCCCCCAAGAGACTACAACCTTGAGGACTGTGCATCTGCCTCGGCCATGTTGGCTAGCTTGGCCATGTCAAGTGTAGCAGCCCTGCTCAGGAGGTCCATGGCACTTCTTAACCAAGTAGAACTGTACTTAGAACTGTTCCTAGAACTGTACTTATAACCCTAAACCCTAAACCCCAAACCCCAAACCCTGAACCCTGAACCCTGAACCCTGTACCCTAAACCCTAAACCCTAAACCCTAAACCCTAAACCCTAACCCTAAACCCGAACTGTGCTTATAACCATATTAGCGCACTTGAGGGGCTTCTAAGTGGGTTATAAGTGTACCGTCAAAAGTGGTTACTAAGTACCATGAACCTCTGAGTGCCGAGCTTAGCCATCCACACAGGATTTAGGGTTTAGGGTTTAGGGTTTAGGGTTTAGGGTTTAACAGGATGCTGCATATTCGGATGCTCTCAGGGGAGGAGGTGGCGAGCGTTCCTGTGGATACCCTGAGCAGCGTGCGGGAGCTGAAGCAGCTTGGGGACGAAATGAACCCTAAAATTGGGGCTCGTCTACCCTATCCCACGATAATTCTTATTAATTGATTATGGACGTTAACCCTAAACCCTAAACCCTAAACCCTCAACCCTAAACCCTAAACCCTAAACCCTAAACCCTAAAAGACCCTAGGGCTCATCTTGGCTCCCCTCCAGGCAGTGTTTGCATCAGCACCACGGGCTCCCTCCGCGCTTCCGGCAGAGGCTGCTGCTCCAGGGGCGCAGTTTGGAGCCTTGGTAGCCAAACGAAACTTGAAGATTCTTAAACCCTAAACCCCTAAACCCTAAACCCCTAAACCCTAAAGCCTCAATTCTATAGGGTATAGGAGCCATAACAGTCACAAATAAGCTCGTTTAGGGGCTCCTTGTGTCCGCAAGGAGGATGACGTCCGGCTCGCGTCTCCCCTGGACCTGAACCTGGTGCTGCTGCCTTTCACCGACGCCTCCCAGGCGCAGGTGCAGGAGCTCGCGCACGCAGCTTCCCTTGGCTCAACGCAGAAGGCTCGGCGCGCACAAAACAGGGATGTGGCGCCTGGAGATAGTGATCCCATGCGTGCCTCAATAGGGTCCGCACGGTCATTGTATATCACACTTTAAGCTGCAGGATGATCCGTCCAAGAGAAACCCCCCCACACCCCCACGCACTGTAATCGCGCTAAACCCTAAACCCTAAACCCTAAACCCTAAAAAACCTTAACCCTAAACCCTAAACCCTAAACCCTAAACCCTAAACTCTCAAGCCCGAGCCCGGAACTCGAAACCTTGCACCCATTGCGGATGGCCGGCTTTCAGGTTGAGACCATGCTGCAGCTACCCCAAGACCCAAATCTGGCTGCCCCGACCAGTGCGACGCCGCTTCTTAAAGCATCCGAGTACCTTGGGGGGACCAGATGAACCCCAAGGTTGGGGCTCAGATACCTTATACCACTCTAATCCCCTAGGAAAGCACATGAAACCACAAACCCTTTTCTTTTTTTAGTGCTCATGTTGTCCTTAAGGCATGGCCGCACCGAAGCCGTGCGCGTGCTGTTAGAGGCCGGCGCCGACAAGGACTTGGCCACCAACAGCGGCTACACAGCTTTGATGATCGCCTCTGATCAGGGCGACCTTGAAGTCGCAAGCTTGCTGGTACCTTGAAAACCAAAAGAGCCCTGAAATTGGGTCTCATATTACCCTATACTACTATAGTTCCTCTATAGGGTCATAGTCGCAAGTTTGCTGGTACCTTGGGGACGAAGTGAACCTTGAGAAGTTGGGGTTCATCTTTGCCCTATACTACTATAATTCCTATTTTGGGGTAACATGATTTGCTGGTACCTTGAAAACCAAATGAGCCTTAAACTTGGGTCTCATACTACCCTATACTACTATAATTCCTATTTTAGGGTCATGTGAGCCAGAAACCCTTTTTGAGGGTTCAGTTGTGTCCCCAAGGTCGAGGCCGGCGCCGACAAGAACTTGGCGAACATCTTTGGCTGCACAGCCCTGATGATGGCAGCTCGAAGCTCTGTTCACATCGTTCGGTTGCTTCTTGAGGCCACTGACTTCGCCTGTAGTTGAACTTTAAGCTTTTTGGGTTTCCTTATTTTTTATACATATTAAAGTTTAACCTTTTTTGGGGGGTTTCCTTATTTAGTAGGAAACTTAATGTTTAACCTTTTTTCTCTTCTTGGTTATTGGAGATGTAAGGCCAGCGCCGACAAGGACGCGGTCGACAACGACGGTGACACGGCCCTCATGCACGCAGCTGACGATGGCTTCGCTGAAGCCCTGCGTTTGCTGGCGGATGCTGGTGCCGACATGGACGTGGCAAACAACGATGGGCGCACAGCCATGATGATCGCAGCTGGCAAGGGCCACGCTGAGGTCGTGAGTTTTCTGAGGGAGGCCGGTGCGGACAAGGACATGACCAACATTAGTGGTCGCACGACCCTGATGATGGCAGCTTCCCGTGGCCATGTGAAAGTGGTGCATTTGCTTGTGGAGGCATGCGCAGACAAGGACGTGGCCGACAACGATGGCAACACGGCCCTCTTGCTTGCTGCTGGCAAGGGCCACTCAGAAGTCGTGCGATTGCTAGTACCTTGAAAACCAAATGAGCACTAAATTGTGGTCATACACTCTATACTACTATCATCCCTATGAAAGTATGTGTACCGTAAGCCCTTTCAGGGCTCATGCAAGGTAGAGGCTGGTGCCGACAGAGACTTCACGAACCTCCGCGGTCGAACGGCCCCTTCCTTCTCCAACAGCTGAACTTTATAAACTTTTCGGGTTTCTTCATATTTCGTAGGAAAAATAAGGGTTTCACCTTGTTTCTTCCCTTGGCCATTGGAGAAGTAAGGCCCTCATGGTGGCGGCTCAGTGGGGGCACAGTGAAGTCGTGCGGTTGCTGGAGGCTTCAAAGGCCCCAACCTGGTCGCAACTCCTGCAACACCAACTCCTCAAGCGCTTGAGTACCTTGGGGTCCAAATGAGCCTTAAAAAAAGTTGGGGGGTCATATACCCCATACTACGAAAAGCCCTTTTTAAGGTATTAAGGAACCATAAAGCCGCTTCCCGGTTTTGAAGGTATATGAACCATAAAACCTTTTTAGGGCGCAGTTTCGTCCGAAACCGTAAACCCTAAACCCGAAACCCTAAGCCCTAAACCCTAAACCCTAAACCCCAAGTTCGTCCTTAAGGTATGGCCACGCTGCAGCTGTGCGAGTGCTGGTGGAAGCCGGCGCCGACTTAAGGACTTGAGCACCGAAGGCGAAACCCTAAGGGTCCATGTACCTCCGTTACGAATCGTTTAGGGTTTAGGGTTTAGGGTTTAGGGCTTAGGGTTTGGGATTTAGAGTTTAGGGTTACTTAGACCCTATAAGGGTCCATGTACCTCACTATTGTAGTCCCTATATAGGAAGTACTCCAAGGCCCAGGTATTCCCTTATTTAGGTACATGGACCCTTAGGGATAAGAGTAGCCCTAAACCCTAAACCCTAAACCCTAAACCCTAAACCCTAAACCCTAAACCCTAAACCCTATTTAGGTACATGGACCCTTAGGCTGGTGGAGGCCGGCCCTGCCGGCTATTGTTTTAAAGCTGCTGAGGAGAAGTCTGAGGGTAGCTTCATGGGCCCTTATCTGGTTTAGGGTTTAGGGTTTAGGGTTTAGGGTTTAGGGTTTAGGGTTTAGGGTTTAGGGTTTAGGGTTGAGTTTAGGGGTTTAGGGGTTTTGGGGTTTAGGGGATTAGGGGTTTAGGGGTTTAGGGGTTTAGGGTTTAGGGTTTAGGGGTTTAGGGGTTTAGGGGTCTAGGGGTCTAGGGGTCTAGGGGTTTAGGGTCTAGGGTGGAGGGTTTAGGGTTTAGGGGTAGTTTGATGGGCCCTTCATATGGTCCCTAACCTCCTTTAAAGGGTTCTGTTGTATGGGCCCTTAAGTTGTACAGGGGAATGAAAGGGGTACCGGCTTGAAGGGCCCATACTCAGGGACCGATGTAACTACCCTAGGAGCCCTAAGCCCTACATCCTAAACCCTAAACTCAGGGGCCCCATGTAACTACCCTTGGACTAATGCCGACTGGTTACATCTCTGCTGATGGCAGCTGACTTGGTAGCCCACGATGTTGCCTTTAGGGTTTGGGGTTTAGTGGTTTGGGAGGGTTTGGGGTTTAGGGTGGCTCTAGGCTGCCACACTAAAGTCATATAGGGGTCAGAATAATTGCCAATAGTATTCCCTTATGGTCCCTTTATTCTACAAGAACCCCCCCCCCCCCCCCAAACCCTATTCTAATGTTTCCGGCCCCTATATTGACCGTTCCCCGAAAGAAGGATGCGCTACCAGGATGCAATGTTGGGGCTTGCGAAGCTCGTTGCGTCATGGAGACTGTGGCTACATGGTGCAAGTACAGTGGACAAAGCAGCATGCACCAAAAAGGGGGCTGAAGTTTAAACCCTAAGCCCTCAGCCCTAAACCTGAACCCAAGCTTTCACTCATTCAAACCCAGACATAGGTCCCAAACACCCTCCCTTTGGCCTCAAACCGCTTCAAACACATCTCATCGTCCATAACGGTACAGTAAGTTATGGAAACCAAATCGACCTCACAATGGGATCACATTGCTGCTCCTAGAACCCTATATGGGGGGTTTACGAAAATAGGGGAGCCCTTAAATAGACCCCCAAATACCCATATGAGCGAATGTATATGGACCTCCCCTACGCCCCAATACGATGATAGACCCCCAGCCCAAGTGTTCGGGCTCAAACCGCCAAAGCCTTCGAACCGCTAAACCCTACCCGATGAACCCTATACACCCTATACACCCTTTACACCCTAAATCCTGAACCCTACACCCAGAACCCTAAATCCTCAACCCTACAGCCTGGACTCTAAATCCTCAACCCTAAACCCGAAATCCTCAACCCTGCACCCTGAGCCCTAAGTTCGAAGCCCTAAACCCTAAACCCTAAACCCTAAACCCTGAACCCTAACCCTAAACCCTAAACCCTAAACCGAGGTCACCAGCGTGGTGCTCCTCCTGACCTTCATCCTCACCGCCCTGCCCCGCACATCCGCCCGAAGTGCGGAGCGGGCGCGCGCCGGGTGAGCGCGCGGGTTTAGGGTTTAGGGTTTATAGGGTTTATAGGGTTTATAGGGTTTATAGGGTTTAGGGTTTAGGGTTTAGGGTTTAGGGCAAGTTTAGGGTTTAGGGTTTAGGGTTTGGGGTTTAGGGGTCTGGAGTTTAAGGGTTCAGGGTTAGGGTTTCGGGCTTAGGGTTATTTAGGGTTTTTAGGGTTTAGGGTTAGAGTTTTAGGGTTTAGGGTTAGGGCTTAGGGTTTAGGGAATAGTTAGGGTTTTTTCGGGGTTTTTAGGGTTTAGGTTTCGACATGGCAGAGCTCCAAGCAAAACGGGGAACGCGCGCTTCTCCTGCCCTTTCTGTCTGTAGTTCAGGGTTAGGGTTTAGGGTTTAGGGTGGTAGTTTCCGATTGTCATAATTGGTTTCAAGTAGTAGTTTGATTGACTTCAATTCTAAATATTTCTTGCATGTGCGACTGTTCTTGTAATAAAGCAACCTTGTTATGGTGGGTTAAGACTTCTAGGGTTTAGGTTCTAGGATTTAGGGTTTATGGTTTAGAGTCTAGGGATTTAGAGTCTTGGGTTTAGGGTTTAGGGTTCAGAGTTTAGGTTCTTGGCTTTAGGGTTAAGGGTTTAGGGCTTAGGGCTTAGGGTTTAGGGTTTAGGGTTTAGGGTTGCTTCCTTCCAAGTGTGTTTGGCGCCACAGGATCGGCCCAAGCAGTGTTGCTGATTGCAAGCTGCGTGGACCAAGAGACCCAGCCCTGATGTTCTGGATTAGGGTTTAGAGTCTAGAGTTTAGGGTTTAGGGTTTTAGGTTTTGGGTCTTGGGTTTAGTAAATTCCATAAACCCTATATAACCGGGTACACAAACTCTATAAACCCTACATAAACCCTATGAGCCCTATATAACCGGGTACGTAAACCCTATAAACCCTGCATAAATCCTATAAATTCTATGTAACCGGGTATATAAACCCTAGAAACCCTATAAACCCTAACAAAGCTTGTAAACCCCAATGACCCGGTTGAAACAACCCTGTAAGCCTTACAAACCCTGCAAACACGACAAAAGCCGAGAAGCCCTGTAGACGACCTTCAACCCTACAACCCTAAGCCCTAAATCTTATACCCTACGCCCCAAGCCCCAAACCCTAAACCCTCAACCCGAAACCCTAAACCCTATAAACCCTAAACCCTAGACCCCTACCCCCAAAGAAAGAATGCGCCAGTAGAAGCCCTTTGAACGATGGACGGGGGCGATTTGACTGAGCCGCTGCTTGCGGAAGAAGGGAGGCAACAACAGCGAGTCGCCATTATCGGATCAGGAGGGTGCAGGGTGGACAGGATTTAGGGTTTAGGGTTTAGGGTTTAGGGTTTAGGGTTTAGGGTTCAGGGTTTAGGGTTCAGGGTTTGGGAAAAAGTTTAGGGTCTAGGGTGTAGGGTTTTAGGGTTTAGGGTTTACTGCGCAAGTACCCCTTGATGGCGTCAGGTTGCCTGGTTGGGGGTTGGGGCGGGCAAATCCAAAGTAACCCTTGCGGGTGCAGGAAGCTTGCTGGGCTTAGTTTGGCGTCTCTGTATGGTTTAGGGTTTAGGGTTGCTTTGGATTTGGGAGTGGGTTCTTTGCGTAGGTGCTGAGTAGGAAGCCTGCAACCTCGCAGTATAATCTCCCTCCCCATGTCACTCCCAAGAATAACCTTTCTCCCGCCCCTCAACCCTAAACCCTTGGGAAAAAAATACTGAAACCCCAAAACGGCAAGAAACAAAACCCTAAACCCTAAACCCTAAAACCCTAAACGCCCTAAACCCTAAACCCTAGACCCTAAAAAACAAAAAAAATCAAAAACCGAGGAAAAAGCCCGAAAAGCCCTGGAAGCCCCCCCCCCCCCAGAAACCCTGGGCTTTGCTCTAGGATGGTCTGGGCTGCAGTGTGCCCATTGCCTGGCCGAGAAGGGCATCCACGTTGAGACTGGGTCAGGGTTTAGGGTTTAGGGTTTAGGGTTTAGGGGTTAGGGTTTAGGGTTTAGGGTTCAGGGTTGCTAGTCAGGGTTTAGGGTTTTGGGTTTAGGGTTTAGGGCTTTTGGGGCAGAAGCTTTTTAGTACGGTTTTTCGGGGTTTAGGGTTTAGGCAGTTTCGGGCTTGGGGCCTAGACTTTCCTAGGGTCTGGGGACCCTAAACCCGAAACCCTCTAGGGTTTAAAAGGCTCAAAGGTTGCCCTAAGCCCTAAACCCTAAACCCTAAACCCTAAACCCTAAACCCCAAACCCCAAACCCTAAACCCTAAATCCTAAGCGTGTTTGTTGGGCCTGGGGGGTCGCGGGGAGTTTGAGTTGGTGGGATCGGTCTTAGTAGATGATGGCTTGAAGACCCAGCGACGTTCGAGCTTGTCTAGGGTTTAGAGTTTAGGGGATAGGGTTTAGGGTTTATAGGGTTTCGGGTTTAGGCAAGAGGTTCAGGCTTAGGGCTTTGGGTTTTGGGTAGAAGATTTACGGTTGAGGGCTCGGGCTTGGGAAAGCTGAGGAGATTTTCGACAAGCACAGCGTGATCGGCGGCACATTTAGCCCGGAGACTTGCATCCGCTCAGTAATGCAGGGTGAACCACTTCTTCGGCTGTTTCTCACCCTAAACCCTAAACCCTAAACCCGATAAACCCTGAATCCACTGGAATAAACCCTAAACCCTAAACCCTAAACCCTAAACCCTTGACCCTTAACGACCTGGACCAACATAACAAGAAAACAGCAAGGAGATGTCCTATCATCAGCTCAGCCTTCACAGCCCGCGCTGGTGCAACTGGGTTCCGGTTGAGGGTTTAAGGTGGGGCTTCAGGGTTTAGGGTTTAGGGTGGGGCTTTAGGGGTTAGGGTTTAGGGTTTAGGGTTTTCAAAATGGGTACCTATTCTGGGAGTCCTTCGAAAGGTGAGTGTACTGGATGTGGGGGTATATATGGTTAGGCTGGGCTGGGTGTTGCTGGGTAGTCTTGAAGGGTGCTCCTAGCCCTGGCGTGTTGAGGTCTGAGGGGTCCGTAAACCCTAAACCCTAAACCCTAAACCCTAAACCCTAAACCCTAAACCCTAAACCCTAAACCCTAATAGGACGTGGGGTCAAAGATCGTGCGTTCTAGGTGCAACCAGATGACCATCCATGGGGACTTCTTGCCGTTCCCACGTGGGGAGGAAGGTTTC